GTAACAAATTCATCCTTTAGCTTTATTCTCCTCCCAACTGAATATGTTGCCCATTTCTCTTACCTTTTACATTTTCCTCTTCCTTTCCCTGATTCAAATGATGTAGGTTTTCACTCAACTACTGCAAGTACTGATAAGAGGAAAACATCTCTTTGCTATCCATCGTTAGCTGGACCAAAGGATTCAGGGGCCGAGGACTGAAAGAGCTTTTGCCTTCCTGCTCTGATCAGAAGCTGCTAGGGTGCTAGAATATTTTTATCTATCAGAAATAGGAGACGTGGTGCAGCATCAAAGCAGGAGGCAATTTCATGCCTGCTCTGAGCACAATAACATTGCTGTCTGGTATTGTGTAAATGTTTGATCTGTTCTTCATATTTTAAGGTGTGGTGTTGGCAGCCTCTACCTGGCTTGGACATAGACATTACTGCTAGATATGTGATATGCCTGTTGATATATGTGCATTAACTCAAGCCTTTGGTTAAGTTTCATGCTATAGGTGTTTTCCAGAACTTCTAGAAGAATTCTGATTGTAGAGAGGATTCAGATTTTAGCAGGCTGCAAACTCATATAAGTACCCTTGATATTATATATTTGTTTTCCCATTTAGATGTCCATTATCTAGAGTGTCATGAAGCTTTCAGGGCAAGTGAGAGGCCAAAGTAATGGCCAGTGATCCTTCAGAAAGACATGCTAGCAGAGGTACTTCTGAGAGCTTCAGAGCCTCACCATTCAGGGTTACCCACATAACTTAGAAATAAGGAACCTCTGATGCTAGTGAGAGATTTCTTCCTTGAGGAGAAAGAACAAAAAGAAAAGTAGGATATTCTCTTTTTTGCCAAGCAGTACAGCTCGATGGAAAAACAAAAAGCCTTCTGAAGTGAAGAACCCCATCAAGTAAAGCCATCAGGCTTAGGACTGACATGAAAAGCCTTGCTTTGCCCAAAGTGTCCATTTTTAGAAATACATAAATTACTACTTTTTGATAGCACAGGCCAAATTTCAAGCCTGAGTTCTATGCGCTTGGTGCTATGCGCTTGTGCTGACACTGAACGTTTATTGAATTTCAAATCTCAACCCAAAGGCTACTTTCTTTTTTAATTGATCCTTTCCCTAATTGAGCTTTGCAAAGAAGCTGTGAGACCTGAAGTTGCACACTTACATTTAAATCCTAAAGTGTCTCCAGGCTGTAGCTTCCAACAAATGGGCAGATAAAATCTCTGGACCTTCTCCCTTCTCAGCCTGCTGTACGCAAGTTTCTCTTCTCCGCCAGCACAGTTAAAAAAAGGAAAACACAGATGACTTCTAGTCTTTCAAATGCTCTAAAGCAAGACTTGCACAATTGAAGAAGTTGATGATTGGGAGGCTAAAGGAATTTAAGATAACATCACCAGTCCGGGATGCTGTTCAGCAGCAGTTTCTGATACTCTATCACTTTTCTCTTTTCTTCTTTTGTGGGAGAGGCTGTTGAAATGACTGATCTTAGCATTTCACAAGAACGTGGTCCCCTCTAAGAAGAGTACTAACATTTCTGGGTTTGTATTGGCTATACAGACATGAGGACAGCTAGTCAACCCATGAAAATACCACTGTGTATTTCTGACCAAACTGCAGCTCTTTTAACTTACAGCAAGTAGTTTCACTGCTGAGTCCCAGGACTGACTTGCAGCTGTTTGTTCGATGGGTTCTTTTGAGTGATGATTAATGTAGAAAGCTCTTGATCTGCGTTATTTTTACTAATGCATTTGACTGAAGTGCTAATGTAAATGGTGTTCAGGAGCCGTAGGTAGTGCTTCACCCCGATACAGCCGAAGAATGCATCTTTTTCCTGGAGTTTCCAGTTGAGGCACTTAGCGACTTAGCACTTTTACCCTCTAATCGTGGCGACGACTGTCAGTTTTCCAGAGCTCTGCATGGTGTGTGAGAGCAAACCAAGCCCCTTGCTTTGGCCACACGCTCCACGGGCTGGTAGTGCCAATCTGATGCAGTGAGAAGTGGCAGGAGACCTGGACATTTATTTAGTGCCGCAAAACGGTGGAGCTGAAAGACGAAAATAAGGGGAGTCTAATGTTCCTCAAGAATATTTTAATAGGAAGGACCTTAATGATACCTTGAATAATCACTGCAGGTGTCACCTGGGATTCTGCTACATGCAATGGTGTCTACGTTTTGCAAATAGTAACAATCAGATATAGGGAGTGCAGAGCCTTTGAAGATTGTTGCCTATTGCAAACCCAGGAATCCTGAGCACCAGGTTTGTTAGAGGTAGATGCCACAGACATACCACTAGAGGGAAGATTTTGTCCATATTTCACCTTGGTACAAAACACATAGTGAGGATGCACTTGGAGGATTCCTGAGGAAGGACAAGGAAGGGTCTTTAATTCCAGTCGCAAGAGCAAGGCATGAGCTCTGTCTCCACTCCCAGAAGCTGTGCTTGAGCCCGGCATTAACACAAACTCCAGGGGATGAATCTAGATGTTTTGGTTATTAAACCGTGTTCTGCAAACTAATCTGTAGCTTACCAAAAGTTAAATGAATTTTTGTGGTCTAATAGAGACCCTAACTTCCTTTTCCCCTCAAAACCAGGATTTTCTTTGGGAAGGGTGTGAGCAGCTATGTTTTGCATTGTTCTTGAGCAAGAAAACTGCTGGCAGTTTGTAACTTTTCAATTCTAGTGCCATTTGAGATACTGTTCGCTGCTACCCAGATCCCTAGAATCTAAGTCCCCAGCAAGTTAAGCTGCAGACACCCCTCTGACTTTCCTGCTGCCAGCCCAGGAGTGTGCAGGTTGGAAGTACTAGAGGAGAAGAATGAAGCAGCCATTCTCAGATCACACAAGCAAAAATATAGGGTCTCCTTCTGGTACACGTGTGAAAAGGTCTTTTTAACACGTGCGAAAGGGATGCAGCCACTTTATGATCGAGTCACTCACAATCCCAATTCTCTGCATTTTGTCTTCCAAATCCTGTGCTCTTTGGATTGCAGGTGCTCTCCCCTAAGTGTCTTGCTCAACTTAGAAGTATTGATTTTTCAAAAGCGGGAATGCGGAAGACGTATGAAAAAGTCCCATTCGCTGTGGCGTTAGGGTTGAACCCAAGATCTGGGACGGTCTCTGTGGGCTTGTTTGTGTTCCTGCCTCCTAATCTTCCCGAAGCGGCTCCCGCGGGTGGTGCTGGGCTTCCCCGCACCGTGCAAGGCACACACGGGCTTGTTTGTGATCCCGCCACGGGCTGTCAGAGAGCAAGACATTACCCAAGCTTTACAGTCAGGAGTAAGTGACTTGTCTGAGGTCACGCAGGAAAAATGTCGGTTTTGGCTCCCATCATGATTCTAAGCAGGTTGCGCTGCATCTGGGCGTTTAAAATGAGGGGGAAAAATCAGTCATTTGAAAACTGGTGTATGCCGTCAGCTCAGATTCCTGCGTGCCACATACCATTAATGGTCACTTGATTGCCTTTTGGGATCATGGCTTTTAAATTGCATCGGCCGCTGTTACCTTTTCCTGTATCTGCCACGGGAAAGCTCAAGTTAAGTGAGTATTGACAGAGCTGGGCAGACCTTGGGGCCCCGTGTGCACAGCCTGATCCATTTTGAGAGAGATTTCTCATATATATAAAATATGTGTGTGTATCGTGTACATGTGTACATATATATCTGCATGTCTGTATATAAATACAAATATACATATTAGTAAATCATAAATCTGTGCCTGCCACTCTTCTCACCTCCTGCACTCAAAATCTCTTTTGGCAAGTATGTATATATGTGTTGTGTATACATATAGAGAGAGCATGTGTTTTGTATATACATATAAAGATTTTGCATGTACAGATATATGTTCATATATATTTTTGCATATATACCAATATTTCTATATGCTTTTTCTATATATACACACACCTATCCCCTTATGTTTTGCATATACATATACTTATGCATATACACATAATGTATATTTATATATACATATGTATTTTCAGGTATGCATATATATCCATTCATTGCGTGCCTGTGTTTCTACAGCAGTGTGCATATGATATGCACAACAGTATATGTTGTGTGTATGTATACATATATATGAATTCATTGGGTGCATGTGTTTATACACTTGTGTGTATATGCACATATATGTTTTGTATATATACACGTTTTGCATACAGAGAAGCATCCAAATATGTATGTGTGTGTATGGGAGTATATACATATATGTGTGTGTGTGTCTATGTATATACACATACCTAGCGCCACATGCAGGCGCATGCGCACACGCACGTTTCTCATGCTCACGTGCACACGCGGCACGGCCGCTCCCGGGGGCGAGCGCAGAGACAGGGACGTATCCGGCGAAGAGCCCCAGGGGTGCTCGGGGACTCAGGTGCTCTCTCGCCTGAACAGGGAGGCCATGGGGCTTCCGTGCTTGAAGATGCGCCAAGCCGCCTGGACACGGCCCTGGGTAACCTGTGCTATCTGGTGCTGCTCGAGGTCTTGGATTCAGCTATCTCCAGAGGTTCATTTCAATCCAAAATAAACAGTGATTTCGTGGTTCTGGTCCATGCCCGTGTTGTGTCCAGCAGGTGTCTGTGGGAATGAAAGCCTCATGTTGGCTTTCAGGTATGTTTGGAAATAGCAGTTTGTTCCTACAGAGCTGCCTGACTTTGCTATTCACCTCTTGTCAGTAGCTGAATTAATCTTAATCACTTCATAATAAATAATCCATCTGTCAAACAAAGACTACCTAGACTGATATTCTTCTAATCTGCTTTCATTTTTCTTCCTGTTGACCTTGTTTTGCATTAAGTTCTATTACTACCAAATACTCATGTCGACTGTTGTCCATCCTGCCATAAATCATCTCTGCCACCGCTAGGCAAGTGGTTTGTAGAAATGTGAAAGCCTGAGAGGCTTTGCAGAAAATACGTACTGCTGCTGCTGACAGCAAATAGTACACTGGGGAAAAGAAACACTGAAAGACAAATCTGAAATACATGATGGTGAATCTCAAGCCTGTCATTGTCTTGCTTATTCAGGATGTCTTCCTACCAAACTGAAAATGTCATAAGGAAAATCATTCGTGAAATAGGACAAGAATGTGCCAGCAAAGGACAAACTGTTTCTGAAACCTTGGTAGCTTTCATGGTAAGATGAAATATTTCATTTTTTTTTATTCATTTACTTATTTTTTTTCTAATGCTCAAATTCTCTTATGGTTGATAAGATATTAACAAATACATATATTTTAATAAGAGAGCATGTGGATCAGAATCTTCAAACCTGGGAGCTTTTGGTTTGGCATCCAAACCTGTCTCTAAGACTTTCATGGTGTAAAGACTAATTTTACACAGTGTGAGTAGTTCCCCTGCAGTCAGTAGTCGGAGTGAATGATGTTAAGCAAAGACATAAGTCATTCTTTTGGTGTTAAAAATAATAAACTTCAAATGTCAGGCTCGTGTCACGGTGCCACAGTTGGATTGGCTGCAGCTGAGGCTTTTGAGAGCAACTTGAACTTCGAAATAATCTCTGTTTCTGATGGCACAGGTTGAGAAGTTTTAAAGGGACATTCATTGATATTCGATATGCTGCCTTAAAAACCTAAGGAAATACCTTATCCCTCTGAATTGCTGAATGGGACTATAAGACACTGGAAAGACTGTGGGTCTTGAGCCCTCAGAATTGCTTAAACCCTGAGAGTTGTCTTCTCTCATTTTTCTTCTATAGGCTGATAAACCTTTTTTTTTTTCTTTATTTAGAAAAGAAGGCAATCTCAGTGTTGTCATTGATAGGCAACTGTATGTGTGCTAAAAAATTCTGCACTTGGCATCTGTACAGCAAAGCATTGCAGCATTGCAACAAAGTACAGTAGCATTGCAGAATATAACCTAAATACATCTGCAAAACTTGATGTGTAGGAGGGTGACACTTCTTTTTTTGGGATGTCATGAATGGAATTGATAAGCTTCTGGTAATATTTTATAGGAGTGTAAATGTTGCACAGCAGTGTTGTTAGTCTGTCTTTTATGTTTTCTTCCTAGATGAAGATGACACTGTGGTTTTAAAAAAAAAATACCCTAGGCTCAAAAGTAGTATCAGTTAAGTACAAAAAGTCTTATGAATGAAAACTTCCTCACATGGCTGGCAAAATACTCCCAAGTATGCAAATATTTCTTTGTATGCAAAAATACTATGAATTTTTTACCCAAATAGTGGTTGTTATTATTATTATTAATATGTGTGTAACAGTGGTGCAAACAGCATCAACCTAGAAGTGTGTGAACAAACCTGATTTTTTTTTATAATTTTTTTCCAGGAAAATATTTTTTCTAAGTAACTTTTAAAGGAGCTGTATTGAAATATTTTTCTGCAGTATTTGGGGCCCAAGTTAGATTTTTTTTTTCCCACTTATGTCAGAGAACTGAAATTAAAACTGGCAGCGCATGAAATGCAGCTATTGAAATATTTTTCTGCAGTATTTGGAGCCCAAGTTAGATTTTTTTTTCCCACTTACGTCAGAGAATTGAAATTGAAACTGGCAGCGCATGAAATGCAGTAACTTTGTTTCATCATCAAAGATTGCCATGGAAAAAAGAATAGTAAAGATAATATTTGCTTTCAAAAATTTAATCAAGTAATTATTTGCACAGATGAATAACCTAAAGTAAGGTACTAATCTTCCAGATGGAAAAAATGTGACTTTACACTCTCTCTCTTAAACCGTAGCTCTGTCACAGTTACTTTTGTTCAATAAATGTATAAAGAAGTTCGTATTCATTGCACTCTCCAGCTGTTGGACCCAATCATTGTAAACTGTTGTTCCTACAAACCTATTCGCTCTGTCAGAAAACCTCATGAATATGTGTCACCCTGGCTTACAATAAAAAAGAAGGATTACAGGATAGGAGCTGTTTATAATTCACAAGGGTAACAAAAGTAAAGATGGCAAGAATTAGTTTTAATTGTTTCTTTTTTAAGCTAAAGAAATATTGTCTGCATCTGAGAATTTTTAGGAAGAAAAAAAGGTTAGTCCCATACAGTGTATGTTGAGATATAAACTAATAGCTTTCTTTTGGCAATCTCTAGGTGAAAGCTGTTGTTCTAGATCCAAAAAATGACTTCAATGTGGATCGAATCCTTACAAAACCCGATGTGCAAAATCTCATCCAGGTAATTCTGACGTGATGTTGAATTATCTGTCAGTACTTAGCTAAGACTATAGCATTATTTGCTACCTATTCCTGAGCCTAGAATAACATTTGTGATATGCGCATTTTTCAAGTCCCTGAAGATACCGTATTCTCATGGTTCTGTCGCTAAAGACTGGAGTGACTGTTCCTTCCTGGTGGTAACGCTTTACCCTTTGTAATATTCCCTGCATGGTGGGAGGATGGACAGAAGGGGGCTCTCTTACTGCTGTGAAACCTGGGTCACGGTTATTGACAGGTCAGAAGTTTCCCCAGTGATTTAAAATAATTCATTTATTCTGCCTCTCTTCTTAGCTCTGCGTTGCCAGACTGCTTGACACAACAAACCCATCCCTGGACACGATTAAGATGCAAGTGTACTTTTATATGAATTATGCAAAACGAGGTAATTTCAATACAAATATATTATTTAGCAGAATAAACTGATTCTGAGCTCAGCATTTAATATCTTTCTGCAGGGAGAATAATGATTCCTGTTAAATAACTGCTGGCGGTAAAGCAAATATAAATCCCTGGCTAGGGATTCAAAGATTTTAGTATTAATCACATTACATATTGTCAAAGCCAAGTATGGTGGTTTGGCCTGGCCAATGGTAACCTCACACAGGCTCAAAACAGTGAAGTGGACTGAGTTCAGGAAGCTCAGTAACAATCTGAGGCTCCGGGCAATGTTCAGGTTTAACTTCAGGGTGTGGGGCATACTCTGTGTCTGTTAGGTCCTGCTGTAGTCAGTGGAGTCCAGAGAGTCAGAGCTGATGGCTAAGTAGTTCTCTGGGCTCTACTGACTGCTGTTAATTTTGCCAGTTATGCTCATTGTAAACTCTACTGCTGTAAATTATGATGGCCTGGTTCCTTGGACATCTAGTTCACATATCTGTGTTTCAGAAACCTTGAGCAGGCTGTCTGACTCTGGAGATGCATTTTTCCCTTTGTGCGCCCCAAATTGCAGTGAATTTAAGTAGCCCTTTCTTATGGTTCTTCTTTCCTAGCTGAATTCCTCAGTGAGCAGCATCGTATTCTGGAGGGAAGGCTGGCCCCTCTGGTCAGAGAGATCACAGATAGCCGTCCTCGTGTGAAAGAAGAAATGGAGAGTGTGTATCGAGGCATCGTCAGCTACGTGCTGCTGCGCTCTGGCCTTGGCTCCCCCACGGATATTGAAGTTGTCAGGGAGGTAGCAGGTCAGTAAACTTGCAGTAGTGAACTTTCTTACTGAAAAAAGAAAATTTTGCCTTCTCTTTGCTGATCTTTAGGTATAGATGTGGTGAACTGCGGTAAATGGTGAGTATCCAGACTGCCACTGCCCAGCCTTGAAGTCAAAATCTACCATAGACTTTCCACAGTTGTTCAGGAGAGGGTATTTTTGTGTGTTTAATGATTTTCTTATTTGTTCCCTCAAACCGAATTTCTTCCTCACTTTCTATAATCCTTCTAGCTGCCTTGCAGAGCGTATTCCCTCAGACTGAGATGGCTGCTTTCACCTCACTCAGTAAAAAGAACAAAGAGCAGCAGCTGAAAACTCTCACCAAGCTTGTCACAGGAATTCGGTTGTTCAACAAGGACCGTGGGAAGGGAGGAAGCAGCATTGATGACTGTAAGTCAAAGACTGCAGCGGTATTTTGGTTATGAATTCCCAATCATTTTGTCCTGGCCTTCTTTGCTAGTGTAGTTCCAATGATACCTGCTTTGAACCTGGAGGTACTTCTGTACATGTTTTTTATTTGAATATAGGGTGCCAGGTAGACAGCTGTTTAACTAAGAGCCCTTTGCAGGCCATGTGGAAGGGTTGTCTGTGTTAACTTCATGCATTACTTTACCTCGTGACTTGGCCCTTGATCCTGTGGCACTAAGTGAATGAAATGTGTAATGGTTGCTTAAAAACAGTTACTTAAAATCTCAAAAGGACACTGTCAGTCCAGCTGAAATTTTCTGTTGAGTATATGTAACAAAAAGTGATAAAAGTTGATGGGGTATTACCTGTATTCTGATAATTTAGAGAAACTTCATACAGTTCTTACCATGTTATAAAATTTTTTGAATCCAGTTTTGTTTGTTTAATAATAAAGCTAATGGTTATCCTGAAGTTTTGCAAAAACCTTGTTCAGATTAGGGCAAAACTTCCCTGTTTCTCATATTTTTAAAGTTTTTTTTTTTTCTCTCTCCCCCAAAATCAACATTAGTTCTGATAATTTACAAGTAATAATCAAATAAATGGCTATTCAGTAGAAATGGTTTTGAGAATATTTCTCAAGTCTTATGCCAAGGGTTCTTATATTTCCAGTTTTATATTTCTGTTTTTGTAACACATGCTTTCCCACAAACGCCACCTTTCTGTGTTGTGGTTGGCTCTGCTCTAGGCTCACAGGGACTTGGGTTACAGTGTGCCCAGATACTCAGCTATTGTGGTTATGAAACAGGTGTGATGTACAACACATTGTGGCCTTTGTCACTGTAGTATCTGTGTTCAGTGGCTTTTTCAAGTAGGTAATATGTTTGTTAGTCCTTTTGCACTTTGGTAGCTTACTGTCTCTTGTATTGGGTTGTTTATGCATCACTTTTGAATCAGCGGGTAAAAATACAGCATGAATGTTCTTAAAATGGAAATCAAAATACTTGATTTTATGCCACAGTTCAGGGTGTTTTAGCAGAAATCTTTCTGGGGCAGGGATCTTCACTGGCTTTTTACCCCACTTCTAAAAAGAGTAAATCAGCTGAGGTTTCTATTGCTGTGGTTAGACCACTTCAGATACCTGAGCAAATTTGCTTCTCAGTTTTGTTAGATCTAGCCTATCTGTGCCCACAGGGTTTTGATTAGATATACCAGAGCTCTAGTTACGTGGCTGCTGCTTGTATTAAAAACTAAATCTGAAGAGGAATAAAACAACAAATGTCTGCAACATGCAATTCAGGAAAGTGCCTGGACCTCCTTGTATCATTCGATTGCTCAAACATGTGCTTGCGTATCAAAACATGGGGTGTAATGGATGTCCTCTGTTGATAATGCATTTTTTTAAAAAATAAATTATTTAGTGAATGTTTCATATCAGCAAAGTATTTTGAGGTTGACCTGTGCCAGTTTGGAGAATCTGTGGTTTTGTTTATTTTCATTTTTTTTAAAAGTACCAATATTTAATTTTAGTAACTACATAGATAAATTTTTTTGCATAGTACCTTTTTTCAATGTATAACAGCAATCTGACTCAGACTATTGTTAGATATCTAAGTATTCAGGAAATGTGTGGCCTGTTACAGTTTTCTCACATGTAAAATATGACAAACAGAGAATTGAGAATTATGGAAATTATTTAAAGCCTCTCAGGAAACCCATGCCAGTGTTAGCAACTGAACTGCATCTATTATAAAGCTAATTTCCTCACAGTCCTTGACTGTAATGTTTGTGCACCTGCAATTATGATTCTTTGAAACCACTTGGCTAGTGAGATACCTCACTGGATGTGGTACGCAAGCATTTGGACATGCATGAATATCAGGATAAAAAGTAGAAATCGAAGCTTTGCTGTGAGAGTGTATTGCTCATAAAACTGTATTGTAATCATTTTCAAGTCATTCTTTTTGTGTGTATTTCATATTTATGCTCTCCAAACAGTGCCAGCCATTCTGAATGAAGCTATTCCGTCAGCTACGCGGGCCCTTGATGAGGCCCTGAGCACCTGCCATGCTCTGGCCCCCTGCTACACAGCTCTCCTGGAATCCATGAGTGAAGATCGCCACAAGCACGTGCAGCTCAGCTCACTAAAGTTAAAAGAAGCACTGTTCAACGTGAGACAATATGAAGCCTTCCTTTGCGTCCTCATGGTGAGATATCGTCACGTTGCAGCCTGTTTTTATTGCACATGGGATATATTCAAGCTACCTGCTTGTACAGGGTGGAAAAATGAGGGGCCTGATTCAGAAGCCATTGAAATCAAATTTATCTCAGTACAAGAGAATTTACGTAATCTGTCATGCAAACCTCGTAACCAGCTTGCTGGTTTGGTTACTGTATGGTGAAAGACAAAGCAGACCTTTTTGAGCCTTCTGTTTCGTTTTTAGAGTCCTTTCCTTTTTTTTTTTTTTTTCCTAATTTAACCTTATTAGTAAAGAATTTAAAAAGTAGAATTCTCTTTTTTTCTTGTTTGTGTACTGATACTTAGTCTGCTTGAACACTGTGTGATGACTGGAGAGTAATATTGAATTCTGTTGTAAAATATCTTGCAATAAAAGCCAGATTACCTGAAATAAGGTAATTGATCAGTTTCAGATTTGATCCATACTGAGTGATCAGAAGTCTTCTAAGAATGCCACTTAAATTCTGGAAACTTCTATTTTCTTTATAAAGACTTTTTTTTGAGAAACTGTAGGCTCTTTATTACTTCTGTGTTTGTCATAAAGCTGTGAAGAATATTTCTTTTTTTTTTCCATTCTCTTTTTTCCATTCTCTTTACTGTAAAAGTGTAATGATTTTATATAAGAAAAAAAAAAGCAAAACTATATACGTTTGAGAGAAGTGCCTAGTTTTACACCTGAGTACTTGAGGAATAGTGTATTTCATTCAGGGTGCATTTCAGTTTTTAAAAAATAGATGTTTGGAAATAGTTAAATGAGGAGATCTTATTTTTTTGACTGTCATATGCTTATTTTTTTGACTGTCATAGTTCTTACCCAAAACATGTTTTCTTTCCAGTCTGAAGTAATTACAAGTGCTAGAGAAGTTGAAATGACAAATAAGCAGTTTGCAGCAACAATGGAGCAGTTAAAAAACACAGTTCAGAATAAGGTTTCTGTGGGTACAACAGAAGTTTTTGTAAGTATTTTGAGTGGAAGACCTATTTCTTCTTAATTATAAAAGATTAGAAAACTATTATAAAATACTTTATCAGAATATTTTTGCATAGTTGATGTGAAGAAAAAGGCTACAGTATTTTTTACCTATTATAACAGTAATTTCAAGTGATTTTTGAAGGGGCAGCTAAAATAAAGATTGCATCTCTAGACAGAAGAAAAGCAAGGGGCAGAAAAGGGAAGAAGGAATTAACTAGTATTTTATTGTGTCTTGAATCATTTGTCAGTAATGTAGATTGTCATATTTTCTTGTTTTGTATAAATACTTCTGTTTCTTGCAGAAATGGCAGTAGCAATAACAGATAACAGCACATGATTCTTTTGAAGTCCTTTCAGGTAGCAGTACTCTGTAATTGCAGGATGACTCCTGGATAACTTTTTTTTTTTTTTTTTTTGAAAGAATGTAGGTTTCTAGCAAGGTTTTTAGTCTCTCTGGTCCTCTAAATTGCTGTGGACCTGTTGGCCAAGCTTCAGCCAGATTTTTCGAGATCTTAAAATAATTCATTTTCTTCAAGTTTTGTGAAGATAAGCAATCGTGCCATTAGAACCCTCCTAAGCTGAAGTCTGCAGTGGCGCTGCCACAGTTACCGTGTCCAGCAGCCTCTGCTTCCAGCCGGGCGGTCTGTGTGCGCTGCCTGGCCAGCAAGCAGGCAGGGAGCCCTGCCCTAGCCTAACTCTAAATAAACAGAATATAACATAGAGTAGGGGAAAGGAGATAATCCCCCACTACCTACTCAGAGATTTTTTTTTTAATGTTTTATGTTTTCCTTAAAGGCGTTTGTGCTGCAAATTTATGAGTGAGATTTTGACTGAGATACCTCTCGGGCATAGCCTGATGCTCTTGTTTATAGATGCTTGTGTTTTTATAAGCCAGACCTCCTCCTTTTGGAGAATGTTTTCCCTTTGTCCAGCTGCTCGAAGCAGTTCTTTCTCTTTTTCTCCATCTTTATGGGGCTTAAGTGCCAGGCATGCACTGTAAAATAGTCATAATGGCAGAGGAGGGAGGAGATGGAAGAGGTGAATGGGCTTCTCTCCAGGGTAGGTCAGAGAAGGAAGCTAGGTCTGTGTTTTTCAGCTTGCTCTGGAAAAGTCCGTCTCTTCCTCTATGCGATAGAAGGCTGTGACTGACCTGAATTTAACCTTTTTGAATATTTATCACCCTTTTCCATAGAATCTATTTGCACTTCTCTGCTTCCTTCCTAGATTTTCTTCTCTCTTCATGCTGTTTTGCTGGTTTTTCTTCTTTGCTGCTTCATTATTTCGAGAATATATCAGGTTATTTAATTTCAGGTCTTTTGCAGGAAGAGATTTTGCTGTGACAGAATACATTAGTTCTTGTTGTACTCAAGTAGTTTCTGAGTAGCTACATCATGCAGGAATGTGGAGAAGCAGGACATTCTACAATGAAAAAAATGTAGGATAAGGTCTCTACTTAGAGTAAACATTTGTTACAGGAAACACAACAGATTTTTTTCATAGTGTATTTATCTTGTTAATTCTAACAAGCATATTTTTGATCTTGTTTCTTTTCCTTTAATTCCTTTAATTTCCTTTTTTTTTTGGTAACCCTAATGTTAGGTTAGTGATGCTGATGCATTCCAGGGCTAATCATTGTCAACATGTGTTTCAAGGTCACTGGATCTCTACTAAATGTGCCGTGACTCTAGAAGTCACAGGGCACATTTTCTGTCACTAACCCAGAAATCAGCCTTCACCTTGGAGGTCAGGAGCTGCTGTGGGCACATCCCGTCAGCAGCTGTTGGGAATGGCACTTCCAGTTCACCTTGGACGCTGTGCCCTCCCAAGCTCGCGCTCCATTCCTGCGGCATGTGTCATGTCTTGGGAGTTGTGATTCTAGGTCACTTTTGAAGCAAGGGAAATGATACAGTCTGGTATTTCTTACATATAGATGTGTTCTTACTTCACTTGGTAGCTAAACAGTTGCATTTTTTTTTTCTGGCTCTCTGCCCGGTCTTATTCTTTATGCCTTATTTTCATTTTTAAAACTATATTGGCAATGAAGCTCTCAAGTCAAAGTATAGTGTCAGGGTAACCTATTTTTGGAAAGACTTTGGACTTGAATGAAAAATCATTATTTCTCTGAGGCTTGGACATACATAACTTCAGTTTTTAGATGCTGAAGGCCTTTTAGATAACCTTCTTCATTCATAGCTGAGACTGTTGAGAACAACATTTGGGTTATGTTACAGGCATAAGCAATTGTGGATTCAGATAATTTTCTTTATTTTCTAGCCTCTCTTCATTGCACTTTCAAACCTATGGACCAGCTTTCAGGATGAGATACTGCTGCTAAGTTTGCTCACAAATATGGCTAGTAACCTGCAACAGTTCTTGAAAATCCAGTCAGAGCTTTTCCCTGAGGAGGTGCTAACATCTCTTCTGGAAGGAGTGACTGTGAAAAGTGATGAGGAAAGGATAAGAGAAACCATGGGTACTAAAAATTACTGCTTTTTTCTTCTTTTTTTTCAGTCCTTGCAAGATGTTGTAATTTAAATTCTATTTGAAGGTGCTGCACATTTAATAACTGGAGTTCACATATAGTTTAATAAAATGAAGTCCTAGTAACACATGGATTTAATGTTTTTATCTATCTGGTGTCGTTCAAGCTTTTATTTTATATGTAATATGTATAAAATACACTTTAGTTGTATATATATAGTATATAGATATCTCCTTACTAAGTAGAAACATACTTTATAAAAATGGCAGAATGAACAGAAAGAAGAATATTTCTAAAATTTAAGTTTCTTCACATTTTATTATGTCTTTTTATAACTTCTAGAACTTCTGTGATTCTGAAATTAGAGGGGTAAAGGGGAATAGAAAGCTAATTTAATGGGGCTTTTGTTACTAGAAATATTTCTCTGTAAGATGATATCCCAAATAACCAAGTTAGACTCTGAGATATTTGTAATGTGTGAGTGCATGAAAACTAAGTAGAATTACACTATCTTCTTGTATAATCCTGTTTCCAAAGTAAATTGATACTAAGATCCTGAAATGAAATGAAACTTTTTCATTTCATTTAAGGCAGGGTCAAGGTTTGGGGTTTTGGCATCTTAGCACTTCCTAGGCCATCCTGGGAAGATAATGTCAGTCCAGTCATCCTATAGCATAGTTGTATTTTAGCATGAGATTTTTTTTTTTTACTGTCATCCTTCCATTGTTAACCTTTATTTGCAGAAACCAGAGTAAATGTTTCTGATTTCAAGAACCGAGAATGGCTTTTTCCAGAGACCACCACTAATTTTGATCAGTTGCTCATCCAGTTCCATGGTTTCTGTGCACATGCAATTGGTGAGAAAGGCCTCATCCTGCCAGGTAGGCTTTGTAATTAGACCTTTTTCTTCCTGTGTAAGTACACAAGAACCAGTCAAAACGTAAAGCAGTGATCTGAATGCTTCCCTCTTTGCACCCTCTGTTACTAATATTAACCCTCTGTCCTAATACTGACATGCTTTTTGCTTTTCTCATTGCCACTGGATACTGCAATTTAGCATTTCCAAGGCACTGTCTGTGATGTTGCTAGGTCTTCCCACAGCCGTTATATCCGAAGCAGAGCTTAGCAGTGTCCCTGAGCTTGCACTGTTTTCCTATATGTGTTACTTGGCCTTTATTGACATTGAAATTTCCTGTTACTTTATTGTTGGACTTCTCAATTGCTTAATCTGCTTCTTCAGATAATTTCAGCATTACGCCCCTTGGTGAGAATGGGCAGCTGAGCTGCAAGCAAATATTTGTTGAAGATTGTAGGGCAAACATTTGTGGGTATGGGCAGCGTAGAGAGGAGGAAGTGCATGTTTACTTATGTCCCTGCTATAGGAGTTGTATCTATTGTTGTTTCAGGCATGGAGCCTCACCTAGGCTCAGGCGTGCTGCATGTGAACTTACAAAAGCAGTTGTGCTGGCCTGTAGAAACATATGGATCTGTACTTAAAAGCTTCCATTCAGGGATTTATTCTGATTTATTCTGACGGAAAAAGGGGAAAAAATGACTCAAGGGAAACATGAAATCATAATTACAAGTGTTGCTTCTATTGCATATTATACTGGTTCATTGTGTTGCTATTATTTTTTTCTTTAGGAAACCCTGCTATTGGAATTTTGAAGCACAAAGACAGATATTACACCTTCAGTTCCAAAGAAGCTGCATATGCTTTTGCTCAAGATCCCGATAAATCCATTCAGCTGAATACAGAAAAAGCAAAGCAACACGCAGAGCTAATTCAGCTGCTTGAGCTTCACCACCAGCTTGAATACCTGGCTCCATGTGGTGCACAGGTACACATTCCCTCTTGCTGGGTCACTCCTCTGCCTGCCCTTTCTAGGACATGAAGGGAACACTCGATGCCCATCTTCAGAAAGTACAGTCCCCTGCTTATTGTACAGGGTGTCTGAAGAGCCATCTCTCGAGGTCCTTAGGGTATAGATAAGGACCACCACCTCCTAATGCAGTTTGCATGTTACCTCTGCCTGAAGAACTGCGGCAATGATGAAAGCTTTTGTGCTTAGCCTAGGAGCAGTCTGTGGCTGATGTTGTGATGCTGCCTGTCCTCTTCTTGCAAAAGCAGTTTGCAGAAGCTACAGAAGCCGAGACGGGCAGCAGCACAGGGCCTGGAGCTCCTGCTCGTGAGTCGGGCAGTGCGTGTGGGCGCAGTCTTGGTGGGGTCTGGACACAGCAGTTCCAGAGCAGATAATGTTGTCAGAGAGGGTGCGTTGTTAATGAATGCGACGGTGCTTGCCTGTGAAATCCACAGCCTTGACGGGGATGCACAGGCTTTTTCTGATGCATTGAGATTTCTAGCTACATAGTGATGCAAGGAATGCGGCCTTGATGTTGTCCTTGGTGAGAAAGATATGGCTGAGATCCCAGCCCTGGTGGAGATGTACGCTGTTCTTCTAATTGAGATTTGTGATCTCGAGCCCATTGTTGGAAATAAACTGAGATGGTTGCCTCATAAAACACATGTGCTGGTGGGGGGGTCCCTTTTCATCAAAACGCAATGATTAAGCACTCATCCCGGAGGTGAGAGGCTGAAGTTCAGCTCTGGCCTGTGTGTAAAACACTTTCTGCACATTACTGTATCAAATACTTTCTTTTTTCTTTCTTCTTTTTTTCTGGAGACTGTACAGGGCAGACAAAAGCACTGCTGACTCTAAAAATTATTATTCACTTGCTATTTTCAGACTTGCTGCTCTCTTGCTTGCTTTTAAAAAGCGTCTTGTCAATACGACATTTTACTGAAACGTCTGAATTCAAATATAAGTATTTTTTTTTTAAATCCAGGTCAGAGACGGTGATGAATATTTGATGAAACCAATCACAAAACGTGACAGTAGCACTCAAACTGATACTCATATCTTGCCCCCAACTATTGTGACATCCTACGAGTGGAATGAATGGGAACTGAGAAGAAAAGCTATAAAACTGGTTTGTACTGGTATTACCAGTTTCATGTGTGGGATACCAAAGTTCAGGTTAAAATATTGTAAAGTGTTTTTCCTTTTAACATAAATACAGCTAAATGTATCCAAAGATAAACACTCCTGTTAAATGGTCCAGGTTTTTTTTTGGAGTGTGTGGGTTTTTGTGGATTCTTTGTTTGTTTTTTGTTGGGGGGAGGGAGGAGGGTATTTTTAAATTCTCTTTTCCAGACTTTCCTTCTCATTCCTCTGCTTTTTTTCTCCGTGTTTTGTTCTCCAAACAGCTTTTTGAGCCATTCTTCTGATGCTGCATATGGATTCTAAATTATTTAGTTGTCATGATGAATTTCTTGATTAGCAGTGAATTTTAAGGCTCTTTCTCTGTCGTGAAATAATGTTAGCAGTTGAAAAGGACCACTACGTACTTCTGTTGTAGAGAAATGTTGTGGCCTTGGGTCAGGCAAAATTTCACTGCACATTAAGTGATTTATATTAATATTGTATGGTTTTATTAAGTGGCAGATAGAATGGTTAGTAATGATTATGTTTGACCCCACAGAAAGCATTCGCTAAGCTAAATTATTCATGAAGACACCAATAATGAGCCTTTTTTTTTTTTTTTTGCATAATGAAGTATTTTTCATACTATCCAAATTCCTCTTGTTTCTAGCCAGGAGAGGTAGGAGAGGAGGAAGGCTTACCATGCAGCACAGCACCTAAAGGAAACGTTTGTTACACAGGGTGTAAGTCTGGTAGTTTGGAAGCCACAGTTTGTCTCTATGTCACATGTACAGAAGCTCTGAAAGTAACGGTGTCTTTTTACAAAGCTCCTCTGTAGGGCCTGGCAGTGCAAGCAGTTGTTGAGGTAGAGCACTTGGTTTTCACTGTTCGATTAAAGTGGGCTCGATACTGCAGGCAACAGCTACAGCCAGCCCTAATAAAGGGAACTCCTAGTAGTTACCAGTAAGAGCTGAGCCCAGACTAACGCTCTTTTGGGAACATTTTGGGACATTTTTGGGAACGATGCAGTTTGGAGCCTTCTGGTTTGCGGTGCAGCCTCTTCACTTTCTGCTGTTGTTTTTGCTGTTTGGCTATGATCTCTCCAAGGTTGTATAAGGAAAACAAAACTTTGGAGTGAGAGTTTTTGACAGTGTTAACTTGTTCACAAGAGCTTTTAGTAAAAGCTTTGTAGTTCATTAGTTTGAAATGTTTAGAGGTGTGTTATCATCAGCTGAGAGATGCTCCATCTGAGACATCATTCCAGGCTCCAGGCAGAATTATCTGTTGATGCTGACTGTGCCAAACTTGTAATACAAAAGCAGTACAATCTTTAAAATTGAAATGCTGAACCAGTAGGTTACCAACTCATCTGTAAATCGGGGGGCTGTTGGGGAGGAAAGGGTGCATTTGTGAATTTCGTTTAGGATAAGCTCAGATGCTTGTGTGTTTGCTTGTTTACTTGTTTTTTCTCTCTTGATCATAGTGCACCAGAAAACTTGCAGTAATATGAGGCATTAAGAGTATGATTTTGTTGTAACATTTATTTGGTGTTAGAAGGTAAAAATGACGATTTACACCTGTGTCTCTGCAGGCATACAGTATTGCTTGCAGAGGTGCTCATTCGGTTCTTGAGAGGGATGAGCTTAATAGAGACAGTATTTCAGGTGCAGTCTTGCTTTAATTGTCAGTAAATAGCTTCCTCTGATTTAAAAAAAAAACAAACAAAAAACTCTCTTTATATGCCATCCCTTTTGTAAATCCATTTTTATTTTTCCTGCTCTGTTTTTCTTGATGACACTGTGTATAAAATACAGCTGCAGATGAAGAACCAAAATACGTCTACACGCAGGGGTTTTGGTTTCCATTACAGTCAGTGGAGTGCTAGTTGGTGGAGTCTGGAGAGTATTTTGGTCAATTCTGATAGGAACATGTGAATTTGGCCAATTTAACCCCTCTCCCACCTCCACTGACTAGGCTGGGCTCTAGGGACTTTCCCCCTGCCTTGTGAGGGCACGAAGGTGGGACTGTATTTTGTCTATTCCAGTGCAAATATTATGCTGTATGTTTTATATTATTTTGCATCATTGCTGACATGAGATGCTCAGTGGAAGAAGGAACATATATTTAGTGTTTCAGTGCTGACTTTGTAATATTAACTCTTCATAAGAGGTGTTTTTATAGGCATATCTACATCAGCTGCTCTGATTAAACAGGGCTTTTTACTTGCAGTCATGAATTTGCTTTCCGTTTTACTCCCTGCCAAGGAGATAATGAGCAGTGATTGGAAGGGAAGCGTTTTTCCCTTTCATGGGATGCGTTGTGACACAGTCCCTCAGATCATTTGGCAGAGACCAGCCCAGGGCTTAATCTTGAACCGTAGTTAGTCTCACTATTTGGGATCTTCAAGCTTGTCTTAGGTTGTAAGTGCCCAGGGAGATTTATCTGCCTGCTGTCACATTCAGGCTGCTTCCAGGTTGATCACATGAATCGGAAGCACTAGAAGAACCTAACATGAGAACAGAACATTTTATTCTTACAAAGTCTTCAGCACTATAAATAAATAAATAAATCAAACAGTCACCACAGAAAAACACAGAAGCAGTAGGAAACTTAAAATTGTGCCTGCTATAATAGCTATATATGCTGCTATTGACAGAGTCTGGTTTCAGGAGTTACTGAATCACAGCTGCAAGGCTGTTCTGGTGCTAGGGCAAGCTGTGCCGCGTTACGGGTTTTGTGAAGCCCATCGATGCAAAACAATAATGTGTAACACTTGAGCACAAAACACCAGCACTAAAATGTTGAAAGAAAAATATGCTTAACCTGACTTTGTGTGTGTGTGTTCAGGCCAATTTGCGCCGCAAGTTAACCCGTGCCATGCAGACTGATCTCAGCCACATGAGGAGAGAGAGCTGTACCCAGGTGTACTTGCCCAAGGACGCTGGCACCCAGACGAAGCGCGAGAGCTCGAGCAACGTGCCCCGACCACGCGTCTTCCTGGAAGGCCTCCGAGGTGGATCCTCTCCTACAACTCACATGGTCCAAGTAGACTTAACAAGAGCGGTAGATGAAACCTAGCTGAAAATGAGAAAGCTAAAGACATAAAATAATTGTGTGTATAAAATCTCCAGTGTGTTTCCAAATAAAGCACAGCAGATTTCGCTGTGTTTGTTGATGCCAGGAGCAGTAGTAGTGGTTGTCTTATCTGCGAGGGCCTGCTGAATGGCATTAAGTGGATACTAATTCGAAGCTTGAAACGTCTTTAAAAAGCAGTTGAGAATTGAGGCATGTCTGAAGATGCTTGACTTGAACTAACATTTTCATGGGAGATGTGTGTTCTGAGAACTTGTGTACTTAACACAGTGATTGTTTGCTGTAGCACTATCTTGAAGAGCCGCATCTTTGAATGGTATGTAAGAAGTAAAATACCAGACAAAGAGCTGGTAGGAGATCCAAGGCCAATGCTGCAGTTGCTGCAGAGGATAACTCCCACTGACATGAAGAAAGAATCTCGGGACAGCCGGTCACCCAAACGTCACACCTCCAGTTTCAGAGCAGCAGCATCAAGAAGGTAAAACTAGCAAAAGGAGATGTGGTTTAGCTCCTTGGGCCTGCCCCCTTGTACCCCCCCTTATGCAACACGGGCCTTCCGTGGGGAAATGCTCCTCAGAAGTACAGGCCAAGGCAGGGCGGCCCAGGGCAGGGAACGATCCTGGGTGGCTCTGGCAGTCCCTTAGATACTCGCAGCTTCCCTGTGTATTGGCTGAACAGTGTGCCGGGGAGCCCCTGAGGAACAACAGGGCCTACACTTTGAAAAAGCTCTGCTTTACTTGTGTTTAGATAAATAAATAAAAGCAAACCAGGTAAAGCCGTTAGCTTTGTTTTGTTGCAGCAGTGAAATATGCTGCAGGCCTGATGAACTCAGCTGCATCTTGTATTTCTGTCTGTGAAAAACAATCACTTGAGCTTTAGGATGAAACATCTTTTCTCGAAGTAAGGAGTAATGAAACAGAGAAACTTCTCCCAACAACAAGGTCCAGAATAGAGTTTCTGGAAAATACCGTGGTATGAGTGTGTGATTGTGCTGGGTGCTTCTTGACTCTCTTCTTGGTCAGGTGCAACACGATGCGTCGCTGTTTCCTGGTCCATTGCTATACAAACTCTGTGGTAATGAAGTGAGAGGATTCAGGCTGCCAGGTGTCTCTTCTGTGGTGTTGTCCAGCATCTTGTACCCTAACCCTCTGGCCCTAAGGCCCTAACTGGCCTGACATTTCAAGATACACAGCTGGAACTAATACAAAGGACATTTAAAAAAAAATAGTACCAGCCAGATATGATGCTCCTTTCTGTTTTCCAATGATGGCAGTGTTTTTTTCACATCGGAGTCCTTTGTATTTACAGCCAGTTTGGGGGTTTGGCTTTTTTTTATTATTATTTTTATTATTTTTAGGTTTTGCTGTTCAGGAAGCACAGGTCAGAGGAAGAGACGCATAGGTTGCACTGTAATATTTCATATGAATTCCCTGAATTCGGCCGCATGTATCAGTTCAGTCAGTGACCTGGTGATTTTATGACTTTTCTTCAAAATATCACATCATTTTGATACCCTTTAAGTCACCTCAGTCTCCAAAGCAATGCATCATATATGGCCTCTTTTAATTGAATTGTGTTTAATCCCAGGTTACTGCTCTATATTGTGAGACTTGCCTGTGATCCGAATGAAGAATCTGCTAGGTGGCATCCCCTACAGAGCAGGGAAATAAAAGAATAAAGGCCAGGAGGGGAAGTAAATATGAAAATTAAAGTGTTTATGTTCCATCTGTACAAGTCAGAAAAAAAAAAAAAACGTTGTAAGAGGCTCATTAATAAGTCTTCTGCCTTAGTCCTATTTCTGGCTTTCCTCTTAAATCGCAAAGAAGATTGCGATTCTTTTGGGAGAAAACATGGAAATGCCCCTACTAAGCATCTCTCAGCATCTGTAGGGTTCTCTTCTGCCTTTAAGGTCACCTTGGTTCAAAGCAGTGCAGCCCCCTCACAGAGTTGCTCTGCAGAGAAACAAGCCTGTAGTTGGCAACTGTTCCCCATCTAAGGTCCCTTGGGGGTTACTTGGGGGGTGCCCTCACCCTGAGGGCTGTGACTGGGGGTTCGCAGCCCCGTGACAGAGGGGCTCGGAGCAGGTTAACACCAGCCTGACGGGTGGTGGTGGTTTTGTTTTTTTTTAAGGTGTAAAATAGGTAAATGCTGAAAACAAGCAGCTCTAATTGTTGCTCTAAAAATGAGCACACTGCTGACAGATGTTTGATGACTATTAATGCTAATTAATAATGCTCGGCAGAGTAAGAATATTTAGGGGTAATGCAAATATTCTCACTTCTGCTTTTTACAGCTACCTACAATGGTGTCTTGTATGATTTTTTTTTTAACTTGGAATAACTCAATAATTTCTATTAGTATTTATATATATGTGTATATATGTATATTTTCTCCTGGTTCTGGCAGCCAAGGTAAGCTCAGACACGTATAACGAAGCAGTTACCCTCTCTCTGTACAGCCCGGGCCCTGTGCCCGTTATCCCCGAAACGACGTGACGCGCGGGTCGTTCTGGAGGGGCCGCGGCGCAACATGGCGGCCGCCGCCGCGCGCCGCACTCGGCGGCGAG